GAGACTTCTTGTTCAAAATGACTAATATGGAAATGTTATACATAATTGCACACGTATAACCTACATCTGATTGCTTACCATCTCAGGGAGAGGGGAAGGGAAGGAGGGAGGGAGGGATAGAATTTGGAACTCAAAACTTTAAATAAAAATGTTAAAAAAATACTTTAAAAACATGTATATAACACCTGTTACGTGCCAGGCACTGTGTGCTAAGTGATTTTACAAATATCATCTCATTCGATCCTTGAGACCAAACAACAACCTTAGTAGTTAGGTGTTATCATTATCCCTGTTTTACAACTGAGGAAACTGAAGCAAAGAGAGGTTAAGTGACTTGTACAGGGTCACACAGTTATTAAGGGTTTGAAGCTAAATTTGAAGTCAGGTCTTTCTGGTTCCAACCATTGCGCTGCCCAGCTGCCTAAGCTTAGGGAATCATTTAGTCACAGACCTCAAAATCACAGACCTTTAGAGGTTCCAGGAAGAAACTAAGAAAATGTCTGGTCCGGCTTCAATTTTACAGATGAGGACATCAAGGCCCAGCAAGGCTATGATTTTCCTATAATTATAGCTAATTATTGACAGCACTGTAATGATTTGGAGCCATATGGAGGTGTAACTTCACTTGATCATTGAGTCCCCCTTAAGAATTCTGCCTACAAAAAAAAAAAAAAGAATTCTACTTAGGGGAATGTAATGAAAATTTTGGCTTGTGATTCCTAGGAGCCCACAACCAAAGTCAGGGAAGGATATCATGAAGGGTGGGTATAAGAATCAACTCTGTGCTCCACAGTCAATGGCTATGTTTTTTTCTGATTCAGAGATGTCATTTTATTGGCTTGTGTGAAAACTCTCCTAGCAGTTCTTCTGTAACTAAGACTTAAGTGGCTACCATGATTATATAGCTGGTATAGATTAGAGACAGGAAGGACCTAAGCCCAGGTCACCTTGACTCCCAAACCAGCCATGTTCATGATGACCTTGCCTCTTCTCCAGTCTTATCCCTTCCCAAACTTCCAGCGAGGAGTTTGGGAAATGGGATAAAGCACAGAATGTTTTTTTTTTTTTTAGAACTGGAAAAGACTTTAGCCCTGTATCTAGCCTAAACTAGACTAAAAAAAAAAAAAATCTCCACTACAACATTCTCTACCGAGGCCATCCAGCCTTGGCTTGAAGATGTCCAATGAGAGTGAACCTACTCCCTCCTGAGGCAGCCCTTTACGCCTTGTGATGGGAATTTTTTTTCTAATTTTCTAGATTATTTGAAACATCTACACATTGCTTCCAGTCTCATCTGCTAAGGCCAAATACAATTAATGTAATCCCTTTTCCATGTGTCAGCCCTTTGAATACTGGTCTATTCCAGAGTAGGAGAGGGTATATGGGAGCAAATGAAAGGAGTATAGAAGAGGAAAGATTTGTAGAATACGTCCTGGATCGAAAGGGGATTCCTGTATACAGGCACACCTGACTTTATTGCTCTTTGCTTCGTTGCACTTTTCAGATATTGCGTTTTTTACAAATTGAAGGTTTGTAGCAACACTTTGTTAAGCCAGTCTTACTGGTGCCATTTTTTCAACACCACGTGCTCACATTATGTCTCTGTGTCACATTTTGGTAATTCTTACAATATTTCAAACTTCGTCATTATTATTATATGTTATGGGGATCTGCAATCAGTGATCTTTGATGTTACTATGTAATGGTTTTGGGGTGTCATGAACCACACCCATACAAGCCTTTAACTTAATTGATGTTGTGTAATAGCTTCTAAGTGTTCAAGTGAAAGGAATAGTCAATTGATGTGGTAAACTTCATTGTCTTATTTTGAGAAATTGCCAGTCACTCCAAGTTTCAGTAACCACCACCCTGATCAGTCAGCAGCCATCAACACTGAGGCAATACCCTCTACTAGCAAAAAGATTATGATTCTCTCTAAAGGCTCAGAGATGATGGTTAACATTATTTTTAGCAATAAAATTTTTAATTAAGGTATATATATTTTTTAGGCATAATACTATTACACATTTAATAGACTACAATACAATGTAAACATAACTTTTATATGCACTGGGAAACCAAAAAATTCATGTGACTTGCTTTATTGCGATCTTTGCTTTATTGCAATACTCAATTTATTGCGGTGGTCTTGAACTGAACCTGCAATATCTCTGAGGTATGCCTGTACCAGTAAATAGAGTGTTAGATCTGGAATTAAGACCTCAGTTCAAATCCTGCCTCAGGCACTTACTAGCTGTGTGAACTCCCTGAGTAAATGATGTAATCTTTATCTGCCTCAGTTTCCCCATCTGTAAAATGGGAATAAGAATAGCACCTACCACAAAGGGTTGTTCTGATATTCTTAAAATGCTTTGCAAACATTAAAGCACTACACAAACACTAGCCATTAGCTCTATGACTTCCACATCTTCTACAGCCATATTACACTTACTAAGAATTCATTTTGGAGGAAGGGTGAGGTATAGTAGCACACAACATCTGCTATGAAACTTCTACTCACACATTAACTAAAATTACTACCCTTAACTCTTCCTAACTTGTTCCCTTGGGTATCCAAGCTAATGCCCATTTTCCTGTCTGCAACAATTCCCTGAAGGTTTATGAAATGCTTTGTGTGCAGAGCATTGTGTTTGTAGTTGCATAGAACTTTACAGTCTAATGATAAATTTAGAGCCATGTTAGTCCCACCACAGAGCTGCTTTGACATTTATTCCTTCATGCTCGTCCTTTTCTCAACAGCCATCCAACCAAACCTGAATATTTTTTGAACACATTGAAAAGCAGTCAGTCAAACACACTTTAGGAATGACTACTTCCTTTTATCTCAGCCTGCCCCACCAGGCTGCCATGTCCCTTCTGACATTTTTCAAGTCACATATAGTGTCAACTTGATGACAAGCCAACAAGTTGGGCCCAAATGCCCAGTGGGATCACACCCCATTACAGGAATGATTCGATATGCACTTACTAGGTACAGGGTTCTGTGTTCGGTGTAAGAGAAAAGACAAAGAAACCCCATTTCTGATGAGGCATAGATTGTGGCAAGGTTCACTTGCAGAGACTGAAGGAGAGGAATTATTAGATGTAGGATTATAATCAAAGTATCTGTAGAGCTATGGCTGTGCAGGACAAAGAGCCAAGACTAGAATAGTAATAAGCAGATCTTTCACCAATCCAAGCTGGGATCTTCATGGAAATTGGGTGAAGCCTAGATAAGGGCCAAGTCAACATGTACTGAAGGCTCCAACCCCCTCATTCTGGTTGTAAAGAATTTGTCCATGCTTTCTCTATTGGAATAGTGATTGAGAATGGGCTTGGTTACCAAATTACTCTCCAGGAAAAATAGGATGAGGTTGTTCAGACAAATGTAATGCTATCTCTTATTACTTACTATTCTTGATTAAATGTTTTACTCTTAAAGTAAAAGAGTAAAGGGTTATGGACCCTTACCAGTAAAAAAAAAAAGTAAGCATGTAATACCTAATGTGTATTATTTACTCATTCATATATACCACATTTGCAATTATGTGTTTTGTAAGATATTGATAAAAAGATTTTAAAAAGGATAAAGATGAAATATTTGATCCTAGAATCAATAAGGAGTCATTGGCATTTGAGTTAGGGGAGTGCTATGATTTTGAACTGAACTAGGAAAATGATTTTAGCACTTGCTTGGAGGATGGACACAAGGAGACAGACTTGAGGTAGAATTATCAGACTATTGCAATAGTTCATGTGAAAGGTGAAGAAGATATTAACTACAGTGGTGGTTGTGTGAGTAGAGACAAAGAGACAGATGTGGTCACTGACTGAACATGGAAGTATGGGGCAAAGATGACAAAGTGAAGAAGGCATTTGAGGTCAGAGAAAAAACACAGGTGACTAGGATAGTGATGCCCTGAGAAGAAATAGGGAAGTCTGAAAGATGGGTGGGTTTGGGGAAGAGATAATGTAAAGAGATCTGTGATCCAAATCACAATCCACTGATGCCTACTTACCCTCTGACTCATTCAGTTTTACTACATACTAAAAAGGGTATGTCCTTCATGATCTGGGGACAGAGAATTTTCCCAAAGGCACATGTACTGCTACTAGTTAGTTGAGGTTATAATTGCCAAAGGAGCTTTCACCTTAAAAGTGGGGAAATTAGGAGTTTGAATAGCAGAGGAAGAGATCAAGAATAGCAGACTGTTGGAGGATAAAGGTATGATTGGGTTAGAGACAAGCCCCCAAATTAGTTACTTCAGCAAGAATGGAGTACAACTTGTCTTCCTATCCATCAGAGGATTAATCCCTTGGGGTCAAGGCTTAGCCTACCTGGAAAGGCAGCTTCTTTCTCCCCTCACTTTGGAGACACTGACCTACAATTCAGGTTTCCAGTCCCCCCACCCCCCTGCACGGGACAAAAGTGAGCCAGAGAGGTAAATACTATTAACAATTCCTCATAATTTGAACATGTCAGTGAGACGCTTTGGGGTCTTTGGGTTCATCCAAATAAATGTCTACCAAAAGAACACTCCCGTGTTCCTGTTTCACCTGTCAATTAACACCTTCATTGTCCCACCCACCACCTACAAGCTATCTGAGCCTTTCAACTGAATTAAATGATTGGTATTTTCTCTAAGAATCTAGTTTATTGATCAAAGAATATGACACAGGAACACAGGATTGCATCTAGATCAGCTTTTATTTATACTGAACAGCTTTAAAAATACAGAATAAAATAGCTTTATCTCTACTATTTATTCACAACATCTGGTCCAAATATTACATATTTTTAAATATTTAAACGTTTAATGAAGCCATGTTAGAAAAACAATATGAAATCTTTTAAAAACTCCATAAAAGAATTACACATCTCAAACCCTTCCCTACCCCCACCCCCCCCAAAAAAAACCAAACCCTTGGTATGCAAAATAATAAAAAGACAAACAAATAAAGGAGAAAAAATAAAGACAATCCCTCCCCCCACCCCCCCATAAAACACCAAAAAACCCCGAAAGGTTTACAGCCAAATTCAGCCACAAAACTCATGGAAAATATGGGCATCCCCACTGTTTTAAGAACATCCAGTCTGTTAACATGTCAAAGGCTATTCTGAACCAACAAAAAAACCACAATAATTTGAATTATCAGCAAGATGGCAACATTGCTCAAGAATGTCCTAAGTGCCTGAAAAATACAAACAGCAATCTAAGCACTTTTGATAGCAACGATATATACTGATGACAAAGCACAGTCACAACCAACCTAACAAGACAGGAATGTTTTTGGATGCTGCTAAAAATGGATTCCTTGATACAAAGAGCAGCCCGGCACAAAGCTGGACGGATGGAGCCTTTGGCAGAAGCAAACAAGTGTACGGCCTTCTTGCAATACTGCTAATGACTGGCAGACTGTATGGTGATGTTGGAGATGTCTTATTCTCTTAAAAGCCACAACAGGAAATACTCGATATGTACAGCATGTGGGAATCAAGCCATTGGTCACTAATTCAATTAGGTCTCAGACTCAGGGAGAGAGTTGCCTTGTTTTTCATTTACGGAGTTGAAGAAGGCCACTCCACTGGAGCATTGCATTTGTGTTAGGGCATTATACACTGTACATTAACGTAGGAATTATGTACTTTACAGCACAAAGGGATGTGAATTGTACATCCAACATCTAATGGGTAAGCGATTTTGAAACTAGCTGTCAGTTACTGTTAACCTGCAGTCCCCTTTACACCACAATTAAATTTAACCTGCTAAATGTTCTCTCTCCCCTAAACCCTGAAACTCTTGGTATAAAAGATATTGTCACAGCTGATTGTTCTCTGACTGATGCATTTGGCTTAACCACTCTTGTGGCACGGAAAAGCACGGAGAATTACATCTGTAAATGTTCACTCTAATTTCCTATTACCAATATTTCAGCAGGGACATGAATAAAAGGAAACAACTTCAGCTCTTTGTTATAAAACAGAAGCATGAGTAAATAAAGTATACACAACTACTAGAGATTCATCAATGGAGAAATTCTATTATCACATGACATTGTCATGAAAATCATTATCACTCCCTCCCTGGAAACCTGTGACCATTATCCTGGGTGGAAATGTTATTTTAATATATGGAAATACTGCAATATTCATGTACAAACCAAGCTGTTGTATTTAAAGTCAGCATTCAAAGGTACAAAGCAAATCCTGTGTTATCTGTAATCCATGGAGACAGGAAAAGTCAGAGAGCATGATTACTTCTCTCAGTTCACTGGTCACTCAGGGTGGCCTGGTGCATTTACTATATAGCCAATCACAGGGAATTTGCTACAGAACTGAAATCGGTGGGTTACTTTAAACAAGAACCTGAATTTTAGTGTATTGATTAATTCTGAATATGATTCTCAGTTATAGTGCTGGTAAATTAGAGAAATCCAGGGTGAGTTTCCAGTTCTTCTATGATTATTTCTGTGATTATTTCTGCCATGAATTGGGGGACGAGACACTCTTCTATTTTTCATTTTGAACATGTCAGGTCTTTTACATACTTTCTACTATGTATATGATTTAGTGGACAAACAAGTCAGTATAATTAATCCATTCCAACAAAATGTAGTGTGATAAACATAATTCACCCTTACATTACCCTCAGCTTCATACTTAGCTATTTCTGTAAACAGGAAATAAAAACATATCAAATTATCTCCCTGCACCAAATTAGCATCTTTTGTTCCATTGCTTATTTGCTAGCAGTTGAGACCACACTATATTATGTGATTAACTTTGTGTTGTGTAAATGCAAGAAACATATTATTGTCCAATTCAGATGCGGACCCCTACTACATTCTGGCTACATTTTCAACTCTTTGCAAATGGACCTATTGGAGACCTGGTATATTGTTCACTTTACCACACATCAGTCCCAGCTTCACAAAATAATTCAAAAAGGATCCCTAATTTGGCGATTCAAAGTTCAGTCAAGGTGGGAAATCCTCTCTAAAGGAAGCCTCATTACTTTATGTCTCTTCTCTACTTGTTTAAGTAAAGGGGCATCACACATGGATGCTACAAAGTAAGACATTCTCCTATGATGAAAGAGTTGAAAACAACACCCCCCCCAAAATTTTTTTGCAAACAAAGGTTTCAGAAGCACTTTGGCATCTGAACCTTAACACACAAACCTTTCACACTGTTTTGTGGAGGAAAAATATCAAAAAGGCAAGTCATCCATGTTAACCAGGATGTGTTACTGAATTATAGTGGTAAGTGTTCAGTCCTGCTCAGATATCTGGCAGCATTCTGTGCTGGACAGCTAGAACTAGTGTCAAGGCACACTTACCAAACATCATCAGTTTAGCATAGTTTTCTCCATTTGTCAGGGCAAAGGAATCAGACAGGGCTAAACAAAGCACAGCTTCACAGAGCGTGGTATATTGCTTCACTCGGTCTCACACAACAAAAAAGGACGAGACTAACTGAACCACTGGGTGATTTTCTTTTAAACAACACTGTATCTAATACACACTAAAACAGCCGGAACTTTAACATATAAAACCACAAGCAATTTTGAATACATTGCTTCATTTAATCTGTGATAAGATCTTGGCACAAAATGCAGACTCTTAGGCCAGGGTGTCCTAATGCAACGCTCACGGAAGCTCACGCTTCCTGGAATCAAAGGGATAAAAACATACAGATTATTTAGCCAACAAGCTCAAAAGGCGGCTAAGTTGATCTCAAAGTGTTCTCTCCTATTTATAACAAACTAATCTTGACACTGACTTGGGTGTCAATGGAGACATAACAAACTATTGCAAAAAGAGTTGTATGCAATTTGAAATGATCCATTTTGGTTCCTTTTAACTGCTCAAACAGCAGCTGACTGACCACCTGGGGTATGTGGTGTAAATGAAGTCATCTCACTAAGTTTCTGATTTTTCTCTTTCTTTACCCTTCCCTGAGCTGAAAACTCCAAAACAAATAAACAGGTTATTTTTACTAATAGTTTAGTGTTCTCAATCAGAGTGCTCAGCAAGGGAGCAGGCATTAAGGCAACATTCAACCAAATGCCTCTCACTTGATACGGATCAGTGACAAAAAGAAAAAAGGAAAGGCTTTGTTCAGACAGGTGGTATAACGTTTACTAATGCCAACAAGTAATATGGACTACCTCAATAACATCCAGTAGATACTCAAATGGCAAACTACTGAATGTCCCTATAAGTTAAAACACTGATTAATCCAATCCAGTTCATTCTATCTCCTTGATCTTATAGCAGGACTCTGAGAAAACTATAGCCTTCTCATAGTCTGGTCCAGGAGTCAGTCCACATAAATAAGTGAGTTACAGCTTATGCCTTCATTTGATCAAGAAATACAAAACACAAGCACAGAAATACTATACTGGCCTTAAGAGCACATTACATTAAGCTTCCCTGATGATTTCCGTGGCATTACAAATGTGAGTTCTTTTTCCTGTTTTTCTTTGGGGGATGGAGTAAGTGGGTGGGGATAATGGGGATGAGCTGGATGGATCACAATGAAAAACACTGATGTCAAACTAATGCGTAATAGTCAGAATGTTAAACATGAACATAGCCTCACAATTATGAATGCCTGATAACTAACAACATCCACATTACAAGAGAGTCAAAACTTTCAGGTATTAATGACTGGTACTCTCTGTGCCCATTCAATAATCCAGGGGATAAGGATGCCACTTATATATATAGATAGATACATATATATACATATATATATATATACACACACACACACACATATATATATATATATATATATATATATACACACACACACACATACACACAGTGCCTCTGCTAATATGAAAATTTGCTGATCCAAAAAATCTACTGCTGTGGCCCTGAATGGGAAGATAAAACATATGATAGTAAATTATTTCCTAGTAGACTCTTAGGCAAGTTCCTTAGTGTTAATAATTTGATATGAAGGTTAACAATTAATAGATATTGACTCAAATCACACATGACCCATCCCCCTCCCCTCAAAACAGTATCTATGATTCTCACAAATGTGTATGTATACCTAGGCCATAGGGCAATCCATTCTGTAATTCTAGTTCAAGAAAGCTTCCTAAAATACTAATTCAAGAGGAAAATGACTGTATTGACTATTAAGTCACAATGATGCATTTTTGCAAATGCATTTTTGCTTCCCCTAAAATTTTGTTTTAGGCACAGATGAGATGAAGAATTATGAAAACACTATCCAAGGAAGTAGGTACGGGTGCTTGAAGGACCAGAAGTCTTTCCAGCCTGGGGACAGGTCCTGTGAATTCACCTGCACAGTGGGTACAGAAAGTGTAGGTGAGGAAGAAAAACTGCTGACAGGCATCTTGGATGACTTGGCATGCAGTCAAACATTCAGAATGCTGGGATGAGAGACACCACATGTCCAAAACAGTACTATGCATTTACCAAGAAAGAGGAATGACTAAAACAAAAACAAAAAACCCCAAAAGAACAAAAAAACCCGCAACGAATTCCAAACATCTCTCTTCCACAGGAGGATCGGGAATTTTCAGGCGCAGCTATCATTGCCAGCAATGGATGCCCTGAAAAGAGCAGGATCAAGGATTTAAATAATAAGATGGTTGAGACACTATATTAGACAATATCACCACCCACAACAGAAGAGCTATTTATAATCGGTCTCAGCTCTGGGTTTCAAAATTTAAATGCAGATATACAAAACATATATTTTAATGCTTATTAATTAGCAAAGAACTTCAAATACATCTTTTACTACAACTAGATAATATAATTTCAACTAAGGCTATACAGTAGCCTCTGAATCTTCATCTGAATTTCTGCAGTTACTGCTTTTCCTGAAACCCTTCCATGTGTAACCCATGAAGGTTGGGCTGATGGGTAAATAGCTAAAACATCGAAATTTTTTGATAATGTTCATGCCAAATGGCAAATCATAGGATTCCATGCCATCGAGTGATTTACTCCCTTTTCCAACTCCTTTCTTCCATTTCCGTATTCCTCTTTCTTCTGGAGTACCTATCAAAAAACAGAGTGAAGTACAGAATGGGGAGAAGGACCCAAGGGGGAAAAAAAAGAAAAGAAACAAACATGTTAATTTAACAGCCTCGTTAAGAGGAACACAATTCTGCTTTAAAGATAACTGTTTCGTAAGCAAGGCTGTCCTGGAATACACAGTGCCCTTGAAGCAAAGAGTTTGCTTTGCTCAGATCCACACAGGTCCTGGCTTAATAAGTCGATAGAATGCCCACTTGCTACTGTGTTTGACGTGTGATAGAAAGAACAAAGGACGTAGAATCAGAGAGACTGGATCTGACAATTCCAGAGGGTGCACCTGAGGGCAACATGTTTGATCTTTCTGGACCTTGGTTTCCTCTTATGTAAAATAAGGGATAAAAATGTTGCCTGTGTCAAATTGGCTATTGTGAGAAACACTATATAACTATGACTTATTACTAGGAGAATGGGTTACTATAGAAAGAGCTCTGCATTAAGAATAAGGAAAGTGGGGTCCATGTCCTTGATCTGCCTTTCAGAAAGCCAACTCTGGGCAAGTCACTTTCTCTACCCGAGCCTCAGTTTCCTTACTTGTAAAGTGAGGACTGTTGTGAGAAAAATCACTAAAGAAAATTATATGGTGTTTATATGATCCCTTCTAATACAGGTAGCTAGTTAGAATCTATGAGAATGATGCAAAGACCTTCTAGTATGAAAGAAATCTAAACCAATCTCTGAAAAAAAAAATGTTTATTCCAGCCTATGCCACAAGAGGTAATCCAGGCCTGTCCTAAAGGAGAGGGGGAGGGAGGGAGGGAGAGGGGGAGAGGGGGAGGGGGAGAGAGGGAGAGAGAGGGGGGGGGAGAGAGAGAGAGAGGAAGAGAGAGAGGGAGGGAGAGAGAGGGGGAGAGAGAGAACCCACCAAGCTCCGGAGGCAATGCATTCAGCATATGTAGATATATCAGAGTTACATAGTTTTTCCTGACATATTAAGCCTAAATTTGCCTCTGCAACTTCTAGCCATTGCTCCCCAAAATGGGATCTAAGATTTCCATATGGAAGTGGGGATGAGGAAGAGAGGGGAAAAGATGTCTTAAAAGCTTCATTAAAATGGTCACAAATTCACACTTGTGCCAAAACAAGGCTTTGCTTACTGTTAACAGTAGTTGGTTGGAAAGGGACAAAATAATGAACCCGGGAAATGAAGCTAAAGGTTGTGACTTCATGGCAAATAGCTGTCTTTGAACTGACTGGTACCAGATTTTCCAGGGTCACAGATTTTCCAGCATGTTCACTGGTATAAATATTTTAATATTATAACAAATATTTCATTTATTATTTAAATTATGTATAATTGATATTTAATGTGCTAATAAATATTCATCACTATTATCATAAAAAGTAGATTAAATAAAAATAAATATTAGCACTTACCTGGGATGGTGTTATCCAAAACAAAAGCGACACATCCACCTACAAACATTGCTGTGGTGAGAAGGACGTTTAACACTTGATCAATTCCTGTAATCCCTAGAAAAAGAGAGGAAGAATTGAGGGATTACTCTCTCTGCAGACAGTAAATGCCTAATTTAGGTTTGTGTGGCCTTATTTCATTAGAAACTTCATCAAGACCAAAAATTTAGGTATTTCAGCTAGACAACGATTTGCTCAAACAGATACTGCTTAGAATATTTTAGAAATACTACAGGTATATTACAAATAGTGTAGTAAAGAAAGCAGCAGATTGGGAATGAGACACTCTGGATCCAAACCCAAGTTTTGCTCATAACTCTCTGCATGATCTTCAATGAATCACTACCTTCTCTGAGTCCAGTTTTCTTCTCTGCAAAATGAAGGAGCGGATAAAATCAGCTCAGAATTCTATGACCCTCCATATCAAACTAACAAAAGATTCTCAGTTAAAACTGTATATGACATACAACGGAAAATTGCTAATAAGGAGCAATCGCAGTTCTAGTTGTGCACTAAACAATCTCTGCTCAAAGCAATGGTGTGATCATCAAAGAACAAAATACTTAAACTTTCAAAAGTGGTGGGGTGTTGTTTTGTTTTGTTTTTGGGGGGGTGTTGGAGGGTAGGACAGAAAATTAGTATTCATAAATTAATTATATGATATAATATATAATTGGACTATATTACATATAATATAAAATAATATAATTACATATAAATTAGTATTTAGAAGTAGAAATTTCATTAAAAAAGGTATTTGGCACCTTTGGCAAACAGGACAAATAAAATTTTGAAAGCACTTGAAAAAATGAACAATGAGAATAAAAACAGAAACCTGGTACAGTCTGCAAGCTACAAGTACAGTCAGTCAGTCAGTCATTTTGTGTGTTCCTTTTAAATCCCTAACTATCCTTTGTTTCTAATCAGAGAAATAAAGTTGAGCATCACCCAAAGGTCAATGAAGGGATGCATAGTGGGTGCAAGAAGGCTCTAATGTATTATAAATTAGGAATTGTGCAGATGAAGCTGTGCAAATGATTTTGTCAGAGAAATATATCAATGGAAAATAAGATAGGTTGGCCAAACAGAAAAAGCATGGAATAATTAATTGATGGCTAGTCTGCACACTCCAGTAGTATTCATGCAACATCAAGAGAACACGAGGGTGGCCCCCAGCACATTGGATGGACACCTCTCCACCACGGAGTATTTGTAGAACAACATGAACAAGGACTGCATGAATACTGGCATAAGCATGGATGGGTTGTAATTTGCATCACTGGAGGGAGTATCCACATTAACAAGGTCAAAGATCTATTCCACTGGAGCATTAACATATAGTTAGTGTAGATACAACGCCTTAACTAAAGACCATAGGATCAGACTATCAGAACTAGAAAGAATGACAGACCATCTAGTTCAACCATCTCATTTTGAGATGAGGAAATTAAGGTACAGTAGGAGCAGTTAAGGTTGTTGTTCTTTTGGATTTTTCTTCCTATAACATAACTACAAAGGATCAAGACAGGGATTAAAAAAACTGAATAGGCTTGACTGTAATCCAAATAATGTTTCTTAACACAGCTGAAATGCCAAAACAGAAATTCATTAGAAAATATTCAAAGTAGTCTCAAAAAGACAGCCTTACATTTGGCATTCTCTAGAAGAGATAGATACAGAAAAAAACAGATTCTTGATTTATATGATAATTATGGTGACAGGCTGGTTTACATCTGAAGTTTTAGACTGTGCGAGGTTACTGCTGACAAATATGCATTCCAGAGGCAAGTGTTACATGAACAGACAAAACATTTGCTATTAAAATCTAAAGTAGACTGACAGCTAGGCTATGACTCAAACCTCCATAGAGAATAAAAGTGTTTCTCAATACCTGTGACTAGTGGATTCTGCTTGAGGTAACTTGGAAGAACAAGTCCAAAGAAAATGGAAAATCCGAGGACAAAGAGGTTACGTGAAGAATTTAAATCTATGAACTGAAGATTCGACAATCCAACAGCAGTGATCATTCCTGAGAAGAGAAATGAACAAACCCAAGACTTGCCACCTCCCTTTACAGAAGAAGCACCTTTGTACAATCACTTGAAAGGCAACCAATGATTTGGGAGGGAAGGGGAAGGGAAAAAGTATGTATGTAGCACCTACTACGTACCAGGCATTGTCCTCAGCACTTTACAAACATTATCTTATTTGATCTTCATAACTATGAGGTAGGTGTTGTTACTATCCCCATGTAACAGCAGAGGAAACTGAGGGAAACAAAGGGTTAAGTGACTTGCCCAGGGTCACACAGCTATTAAGTGTCTGAGGCTGGATTTGAACTCGTCTTCCTGATTCCAGGCCCAGTACTCTACTCATTGAGCCACCAGTTGCCAAGACTTCAATTTTTATCACATCATCATGTTTGTTTTGTTTTGTTTTTAAGGAGTCAACATGGAAATATATTGCATAACACAAACAGCACTGAAATTATAAAGACATGGGATTGTATTGTATTATTCTCTTCCTAGATTTGTAATTTGCTAGCTCTGTGAGCTTGGCTAAGTCACTTAACCTATCTGATCCCCAGTTTCCTCATCTATAAGTTCAAATAACAATACTTGCACTATTTCTACCTCAGAGTTGTAAGGCTCAAATGAGAAAATATTTTTAAATTACTTTATCAACTGTGAATTGCTATACAAGTATATACTATTAATATGGTACTACAAATGTGTACTACAAATAATATTCCATTGCCTGAGTAGATTATCAGTGGTAATCTGAGGTCCCACATCTCAACCCATTACCATAAGATTAACCTCAGAGATCTACGATCTAAGCTTAGAAGAGAGTAAGGTGAGTGAAGTGTTCTCTCACTGAGCTCATATGACAGCACTCCATATAATCAAACACAAATGACTTTTGAACTAAGAACTTCTGGTCTGATTATATACGATTTTCACTTCCATTATTATGGACAAATAAAAAGTGACTATAGTTCCTTTACAACAGATAGAAATCCAGAGCCATCGAGTTGACATGGAAAATCTTGAAACTGTAAAACATATCAAAATATGTATTGTATAACTACTTCTAATAATTAGGTAATCCTTTTAAAATGGGACAAGTCCTGCTGTGGAAAAAAAAAATGGCCTGTCTTAAACGGAATATTTTTACTTGGAAGTTTCAGCATTTATCTTTTAGAAAGTATTCCTGTTGTGGTTATGACTTAACCTAAGTTCTTCTTCCTAGCTCTAAAGCTGTGATTTTAGAAATTACCTGACTAGACATATTGAAGTGTGTAGTTCAGTGTTATCTTTAGGAAAAGAGTCATTTAAAAATCTCACTGAAGCCTTACGAGTTTTGAACTAGTCAATGTATAGAAAGAAAAGGGGAATGAGAAGACAGGACAGGACATAAACAGGGTTTTACCAAAGAGTGTGCAAAAGAGGGCACCAAGCACAGGGTCTGGAAGGGATGCAAACAACGCACTGAATTTCCCTATCATCCCAAGCATGAGCATTAAAGCCGCACCATACTGAATGACTCGACGACTTCCAACCTATGAGGCAAAATAAGAAAACAAGAATTAAAATGTGGAAAAGTCTGTCATCTAACAATATATTTTTCTTTGAAGATATCCTGTTGCAAAGAGCTACTAGGAAAATAGCTATTCCACAGCAACTGATTCTGCCTCACTTAACAACTTATACCATTAAAATAAAAATAATACAGTTTATAGACAGTATATATTTAGTCTGCAAATAGCATAAACTGTTTTTCAGATTCCCAAATTTAAGTAACTATGTCAAACTTAACAGGTAGGATGGCACAGGGACAAGAATTAGACCCATGCATGAGTTCACTGGTATTGAGAAATCCCAGGTGAGGAAGCTCCCTTTACCAATGCAGACTGGCAAGTTCACTGCAACTGAGAGTGTCAGAGAGCTCCCTGGAATACTGAGAGATTGAAGTGACCGACCTGCCCATGGTCATGTGGCCAGTATGTGTTAAGAGGGGGAACTTGAACCCAGATTTTCCTGGCTTTGAGTCTGGCTTTCTGTCTCCACCTCATGCTGTTGCCATCTCAGGCTACAGTACATAGAAAACTGGATTGGGAGTCAGAAGCCCCAGGCTCCATGTCTTGGATCTGGGAGTCATTAGATGCATAACCAGAACAAAACAATTCATCATTCTAGTGTTCAGTTTCTTAGCTTATAAAATGAAATTAAATTAGATGATATCCTCTCTCATTCTAAAACTCAACGATCTTATAAGTATTTGAAGCAAAGCCCAGTACTCTAAAAGAATGTGAATAATTTTCTAGGATTTGAAGCAGTAAGAATGTTTATTCCTAAGCCCATCTACTTAGTACTTCACTGAATTCTTGTCTCACATTTCAGTCACTTTACGTACAGAAAGATGCCCTTTATGCAATGAGCCTGCCAAGCTTATTTTATTTTATTTGTTTTTCTTAAATTTTTTAAAATTCATTTATTTTTAGTTTTCAATAATTACTTCCACAAGATTTTGAGTTCCAAATTTTCACACCATTTCGCCCCTCCCACCACCCCAAGATGGCATGCATTTTGAATATCCCTTCCCCTAGTCTGCCCTCCCTTCTATCTCTCCCCCCTTCTCTTATTCCCTTCCCCTTCTATTTTCCACAGGATAGATTTCTGTAATCCATTTCCTGTATTTCTTATTTCCCAGCTGTATGTGAAAATATTTTTTCAAAAAACATGTGTTTTTTAAAACTTTGGGTTCCATTTTTTTTTTTTTTGGGGGGGTATAGGCAATGGGGTTAAGTGACTTGCTCTGGGTCACACAGCTAGTTAGTGTTATATATCTGTGGCTGGATTTGAACTCAGGTCCTTCTGAATCCAGGGCCAGTGCTCTACCCACTGCACCACGTAGCTGCCCCCTTAAAATATTTTTTTACTTTTGGTCAGGGCCTGTGACTTTTTTTTCTTTTTGGTAAGGCATTTGGGGTTAAGTGACTTGCCCAGGGTCACATAGCTAGTAAATGTCAAGTGTCTGAGGCCAGATTTGAACTCAGGTCCTCTGGCTCAAAGGCTAGAGCTCTATCCATTACGAAGCTTATTTTATATAAATGCAAAATATTTTAATGTACCAACACATAACTAAAAGACATCATTACTTGACAAGCCTAACTAATGAATAAATAAGACTACTTTACCTATCAACTTGTGTCAAATATGTAGTACTTTCCTAGCTAATTTATTTTCAGTTACTGAGTTTGATTATTTCAGATTCTTCCTTATCTAGTCTGTCTCACTTATTTACTTTTCTAATCAGTTTCAAATGATGATCATTTTTATAACAGTTTGAGGTCTAGAAGTATTTGTTAGTCACCTTCATTCCTATCATTTTTTATTATTGTCTTTGATACTCTAGATCTTCTCTTCTTTCAAACGAATTTTGTTATTTTGTCTGGCTCTATAAAGTATCTGGCTGGTAGTATGAACAACACAGCACAAAATCTGCACGTTACCATAGGTAGTAATGTTTTCCCAATCACGAGCACTGAATACTTCTCCAGTTTTACTTAAGTTCTTTATCTGTTTAAAGAACACTTTGTGATTTTATGTATATAGGTGCTGACTGTGCTTTGGTAGAATGACTTCCAAAAATATTATCTATTTTATAGTTATTTTAAAACAGGGCTGCTTTTTCTGTTATTGCATCCTAGATTTTGTTTTGCTATACTGAAATGTATCCAGCTCTTGATTAGTGTAAATAACCAATACCATAAAGTAGTTGCATTATTCAGATTTTCACAGCACATATCCATTAGGCTGGAACCAATGATCACATTTTTTACATAATTACAACTTTGATAATATTAATTCAAATACATTCAACTATTTTACAAGATTCGTTATTTACACTAAGCACTAATTAACACCTAGCTGTGCTATTACTTTTTCTGAGTTTATTCTGCAGCCTACAACTTTACTGAAATTGTCTAAGCTGGTGTATTAGTTAATACCCTAGAAATTTCTAAGTAAATTACAATGTCATCAGCAAATAAGGATCATTTTTGTCTCCTCTTTGCCAATCTATATGGCAAATTTCCTTCTAGCTTTCCTGCTATTGCTAGGTGGGATTATGAACAGCTGTGTCTGCAGTTCCACTGTATTTCCAATGACAAAATTTTAAACAACTATGGGGCATAACAATGGAGAAACTATTTTGCTGTATTACTAAACTGAGTCTGAAGCTAAAAGTCATACTGTCCATTTATCTGTTTGTGAAAATAAAATGGGGAATGAAATCTGAATATAGTCAGAAAGACCCTATAAATGAAAATTTAGTCTCCTAGAAGTGCCTCTAGAATAAATTGAAGACTTTAGGATGTGTTGTAAGGTTTTTACATTTCTTGATTAAACATGTAACAGAAGCTTTAAAATACTTAGAATCAATGAACAAGCATTTATTAGGCACCTTCTATGTTTTTAGGATACAAGGGCAAAAACTAGACAGTTCCCACTGTCAAGGAACTTACATCTTTATCAAGAGAGACAACATGTGAATCTATAAGTGTATGCAAAATATATACTAAATAAACCAAGGTAATTTTGGAAGGCAGGCACTCAAAACTTAGAAAGGTGGACAGGGCAGACAAGAATGCTCTTGTGTAGGGGGAAGTTCCAAAGAGTGGTCTAGGTCTAAAGAGAAAAATAACATTTTCTTTTAGACATGATGAGTTTGAAAAAAAAAAATACACACACACACACACACACACACACACACACACACACACACAGCCAGTGTGAAAAGTTCAGTAGACACCTGGTGATGCTGCACAGGAGAGACACTAGGGCTATACAAATACACACACATACGGAACCTATGGGTTCCATTAACTCCCTATGGGAGTTAATGAAGTCACCAATACACAGCTGGTGGAGAAGTCAGCCCATAATGCAGCTGTGGGACGCATCTACATCATCTATGAATGATGATCCAGCAGAGAAGACAAAGGATCTATCATGTAGGTAGGAGAACCAAGACAGAGGAATGTCACACACTCAAACAAACAGAAACAGATATAGAAGAGGGTGGTCAACAGTGACAAATGCTGCAGATGTAAAGAAGAAAGAGGACTGCGAAAGGCCACTGACTATGGCCTTTGACAATGAAAGTATCACTGGACCAAAATATTCACGGCACCTTTTGGATTAGCAAAGAAACAAGAAAAAAAAATAGATGTCCATTAATTAGAGAATGACTAAATAAGTTATGGTACATGAATGTAATGGAATATTATTGCCCCATAAGAAAATATGAATATGAGAAACTCAGAGAGGCATGAAGAGACTTAATAAAGATGATATATAAACAGAAAAATCAATAATTTTTTTAAAATGTTAAATATTATTGATAACTTTCAAGAGAGTGGTTTCAGATTAATGTGTTTGAAAGCCAGACTGCAAGGGGCTGAGAAATGAATGACACCAGAAAAAGTGGAAACAAGCATGGGCAATTTTTCAGAGTTTATAAAAGCACAGAGATTGGACAACAATAATATCTGACAATCATGTAGTACGTTTAAGTTTTGCAAAGCATTTTACATACATTATCCAACTGATCTTCACATCCTATGAAGTAGATGCTAGCAATACCAAAAATTTACAGATAAAGAAACTGAGGATGGAATGATTAAGACATTTCCCCAGGCCAGGACCTAGTGTCTGAGGCAGGATGTTACCCTACTCCCTTCTTGGGCCTTTCCTGATTCCTCTATCTGTTAGTCCTCCCCCACCCCACCTCTGCTTCCCTGATGAAATCACCTTTTAGTTATTTTTATTTACAACATGTTCCAGTAGGATATAAGTCTGTTCAATGCAGGCATTGGATTGATTTTCTCTTTGTATCTGTTGGGTGTCTAGCACAGTGCTTGGCACACATCAGGTGATGGGAGATGAAAATTTCACAAGAATTCCATAACCCCACCACCACCTTCCAATTTTTCAATGACCTAGAAATTTTGTTTACTGACTGATATGTATGTTTAGGCCCAAGACATGTTAAAAAAAAAGCCTGCTTTTGAGGAGTTCAGCAAAAATTCCAACATCAAATTTGAGAGGCTTTTCAGAGGATAATCTTCCTCCTCACTTATAATCAGTAATGTGAGTCAGGGAAATGCAAAACTGTTTCCTGAAACAGTGCCACTGGTAAGAGTGGGCTAGTGTCCAAAGGTACGTGGAAGAGGTATCAATTAGCTCGTTAAAAAGAGTTGGCACGATGCCTTTTCAGTAATAAACTGGCACAATTCATGTTGCAATTGCAAGCAATTCAAAATTTTAATGAAGATAATTATGCCTATACTCCCTCAGTAATATTTAAGAATGAAGTTTTTGTAATATTAATGTGTACTGGTTACATACTTCAACAGTCCTGGTTAAGTTACAAGGCAGAGTTTTAAAGGGGGTGTTGAATGACTGCACTGGTAAAAGCTGAGGGACCATGTCGAAAGGGAGCTACCTTGTTAAAATGGCTCTGCCCAAGTCTCCCTTCTACCTCTCAACAGTATTCCTAGATGTATAACTTATCATTAATTACCTATTGAAAGGATGCTTAATAGATGACAGTCTGAAATGTACATAATTTGCATGGTAGTTTCCAATTAATGGGAACCCCTTCCTCTTAGAGCTATGTCACATCATCTAAAAAATCTCTATTCTCTAATGTTCAAGGTTTTTGTTTCTCACATACTCAGAGCAACAATACCAAAAAGTTGACTTTAAGAATACTTCCAGTACCATTAAATTTTTCTCATAATTACTGCTGTAATAGAACTATGTAACAAGTTCAAAAAAGAAGGGAAAGAAAGAATCAGCAGATGGTGCTGTCTAAATGGTTTTATGGAAATTATTTCCCTCTACTAATTGCTAAAAAAAAAAAAAACCGATAAAGAAATCAGATATGCAACACAATGTACTACAGAATCCTGTCCAACACCCTTATCTATTCTTCGCTCTATCAATCATCCTGAATTACAAAGAAATATTAATCATGTTTATTTTATGGTACCTTCTCTGCCTCAGTCCTCCTGTGAAAGTAACTGCGGAATCTCAAAGGCTATGCCTCTTAGGTCCTACTACGCTGGAAAAGTTTAGAGAATGATCCTGGAAATGGACTGCATGTCTCTTATCATAAGACTAGCCTGGTTAAGTGCAGAAAAGCCTGTGATCATAAGGCTGGCAAGAGTGATGAATAAGAGCTATTAAAAACAGAATGAAATGCCTTGGAAGGGCAACTTTTTGGTATTGTTGCTCTGAGTTATGTGAGAAACAAAAACCTTGGCTGGCCATCACGGGAGGCCTTCAAGCAAAGGCTATATGATCATTTGTTGGCTATTTCATAAGGGCAGCTCCTCTAGAGGGATAGGTTGGACTGGACCGCCTCTGAGCTCCCTCCTAACACGTTTAGTGATTCTATAATCATTTTGGCTAGAGCCTCACAAATATTATCTATTAAGGTTAACCTTTTGGCAGTCTGATGAAGACTCAAAATAATGTTTTTAAATTCATAAAATACACAAGATTACAAAGGAAACTGATTTTATTGACAGATAGTTATCAAAATGTCAAAAAAAAAAAAAAACTTCACAGACCCCAGGTTAATAATCTCTGGTATAGATGATTGGCTCTAATCTATGCTAGTGGAAGAAGAACCCACACTAACAATATGACAAATACTTCTGTGATATATTCAATGTTATCTACTGATTACGAAATCACAGAAGTTGAAAGGGGCCTTAAAGGCTCATTAGCCAGGTAAACCGAGGGCCACAGAGGTGAAACAACTTAGCCCAAATAAGTTATTTAGTGGCTAAGGCAGGATTTACAAAATGCCTCTAAGAACACTGTGCTCCAGTTAAGCCGATCTTCAGCTCACTTTCATATCTACCCATCACATGCTTCCACATGACATAAAGAATGACCCAATTAAAGTTTTTCCTTCCAAGAGGAATCATTCGTAAAATGAGGAGGTTGGACTAAACAATCTCTGAGGTTCCTTTGAGCTGTAACAGCCTGAAAATGATGAATCTAGATAGTGGCTACGATGGAAAGTTATCATTAGCATCAACGATCCCAACATCATGCCCTAAAAATAAACCATCTACAGACTCATGGGATGTTAAAACTAGGAGGCATGTTACAGACCATCCAGGTCCCAGCATCCACCACCTCCCCAATTTGACAGGACGGTCACAGCATCACAGGGTTGGAGCTGAAATGGTTCTTCGAGATGAGTCATCTAGTCCAATCGATCTCCTCATTTTTACGTGTTAACTGAGGCCCTGAGAGGTCACAGAGGTAGTGACAGAGGAGGATCTGAACCCATTTTCTCAAGTGACTTGATCAAGATTACAAAGCTGGGCAGCTAGGTGGCACAGTGGATAGAGCACCGGCCCTGGACTCAGGAGGAGCTGAGTTCAAATCCGACCTCAGACACATAACACTTACTAGCTGTGTGACCCTGGGCAAGTCACTTAACCCCATTGCCTAACCAAAAAACAAAAAAGACAAAAAAAACAAACAAAAAAAAAAACAGATTACAAAGCTAACTCATGCTACTTCCCTAGTTTAGAACTTGCCTTCTGAAAAATATTTATAAAAATCTCTTCTTGCGCAAGGTGTGGTAAGGCAGAATCACATGGTTTAAAAAAAGGACTGGGCTTGGAGCTAGAAAACATGAGTTCAAGTCTGATCACAGAATCACAGAATTTTATAGGCTCTTAAAGGCATTTTAGTGCACCTTCCTGAGCTTCAGTTTTCCAGGGTGTAAAATGACAACTCTGGATTAAGAGTTTAGATAACATTTAAGGTCACATACGGCTCTAGATTCTATGAAACCATGAAAATTCAATTTATAAAAACAAAGGTAAGCAAAAAGCACCATTGGGAACAGCAGATACTTGGTTTACTAAAGGAACATTTAGGATAAAATGTTCTTTTTCTAGGAATGAATTGTAATAATGTGGAAGATAAATATTTTCAGGAGAGGTCTCACTGTTTTGGTAGCACATTAAGAAAAAGGGCACATTATAAGGTATGCCCGTGCCTCTACTAGATCTTTAATAATAACAATAAAAAGCATTAGGTCTTTTTCCCCCTACAGGCAAGCTAAGAATAATTTTCTCAGTCCTACTTCAAAACCCATCAAAAATATAAAGATACTGGAGAGTCCAGCCTTTCGGAATTCAAAATGTTCAGGGAGAAGACCGTAACAATATACACCTACTAGTTTGTTAACTAGGAAAAAGATGTGTACCTTAGTTATTCCTAAAACTCCAATATTGGGACTTGACGAAGTGGAGCCGTTTCCGGTACCAAACACACCATCTAGAACACAGGATAGTCCCTCAATGAAAATCCCCCTACAATGCAAAGGAGGGATAAAGAAAAACAGGCTCATTTTAGAAGCAAAATATTCTGAAACCCTAGAACACAAAACATTGTACACAAATGATTAAAATTTTATATTAAATGCAAACTGACAATTTCTCTACATTCAAGGTATGTAGCTAGAAAAGAAATCCAATTTTCTGAGTATATGTTAAATTCAGAATGGAGGGTAATAGAAAATATGTAGCTGACAGAAAGAACCTAAGTCTAATCACTTCTGAAAGAGTGTACTAAATTTTAATCTTATAAGAACCAATGATTTTTTTTTTTTGCTTTTTGGTGAGGCAATCAGGGTTAAGTGACTTGCCAAGGATCACACAGCTAGTAAATGCCAAACGTCTGAGAGGTCGGATTTGAACTTAGGTCCTCTTGACTCCAAGGCCAGAGCTCTATCCACTGCACCACCTAGCTGCCCCCTCAATGATATTTCTTAAGAAATCTCTTAAGAACTAAAAATTATAAGCAATAAAATCCAAGCAACTTAGTGATCAATAACGTCTTTTACTTTTTTAGAAGATGTTCTATTCACTTTCGTGAATATTGCTTTCTTTATGACTTTCACTGTCACTCAAGTCTTCCTGATCCTCCCGTGCTGAGGGGAAACACAGGCTGCCTCAGTAGAGAGGGACAAGCCTGAAGTCAGGACAACCTGGAGTCAAGTCCTGTCTTTGACTGATGACATCTGTGTGACGCTGGGCAGTCCACTAACCTCTGTGTCTGAAACACCTTGCTCAGAGACTAAGTCACAAAAAACAGTTACTGATCTGCTTCAGCAGAAAGGAACTCTGTACCCTGATGAAATCACAGGCGTGGGGGAAAAAAAGAGCCCTTTATAGAGGGTTTACACCAGTCAGATGCGCAGCATCAGTATGTTCGTTAACAATAGTACGTCATGCCAAAATGACGTATAGCCAAGGATATGAAACTGATTCTCCCCCAGCCTTCGTTAAACTACCAAAGAACTAAGGCACGATGCAATCACTTTTGATGAATCACCGAATCAAAGAGCTGGAAAGGATCTTGGAGGTCACCTACTCCAACCCATAGCTAAACCAGAATACCACTCTGCAATCTATCTGGCAACTGGTCACTTAGTCTTGGCTTAAACAACCCCTGTGGCAGGGAATCCATGAAAGGAAGGCCTCTCCCTGTCAGACACTTACCTATTTATTGCATGAATGGGAGGTGGTGGAGCACAAGATAATCTGGCACAGGCGTAATAATCGCCGATAGATTCAATAATACTAGCAACCACTGCACTGAGCATTCCTATAACCCCAGCAGCTGAAACGGTTGGAAGTCCCCACTGAACTGGGAAAGAAAAAACAAATAGGAAACTCTTACTGGCTGTCTCAGACAGGCAAGCTAAAGTTAAAATGCTTAATCCTATAGATAAAGTGAAGCTAAGAAAGAATTATTCAATGAGGCAGGGCACTGACACTGTTATTCATTCCATTAAACTGGTTAACAGTTACAGAGTTATTTGATTTTTAATCCAAGTCCTGCGACCCACTGCTAATTCAAATGAAGGGGGCTAAACTGGAACTACTTTGCATATGTTTTTACTTAAGAATAAGTTGCTTGGCCAAAAGAGAAGCCTTACAATTTGTTCAACTTAGGTTAATTAAGTACCTGATACTTGCAAGGCACTGAGATGCATGCACAGGGGCACACGGGGCATCTACTCTGCTGTGGCTCCTGACTGCAGCTGCCACAAAGCCGAGACTGATGGACTGCTTGTGCATCCCCACCTCGGTCTCTCTGCTTAAGGGAGGGAGAGAGAGGGAAGCTGCAGGTATATCCCTGGAGATCACCTGAGATCTCCATTTATCACAGTGACCATGAAGAAGTAGCAAGAAAAGGGCCAGGTGAAGTATGTCAGTATGGCTAAGCATTGAGGACAAATAGTGGGGCAGGGTCCAGTGGGCACTTGCGTGTCTTCTAACTGTTCTCCTTTGTGGGCCCCACGGTTCCTTCTTTCAAGAAGCTTAAAAGTGAGAAGGTAGGATAAGACACAAATAGCTCTGAACTAAAGAAACTCTAAGTGTAGAGAAGAATAAAGCCAAGTGTTATGGAAGACCTAAAAGATTCCTTCCATCCAGGGGCTATCAGGAAAAAGCTTCATGGAGGACATTTGAGTGGGGCCTAAAGAATGGGCAGGATCCCAATATACCAACAAGGGATTGTACTGCCCTTGACAAAAACAGGGAAGTTAGTTAGGAGGAGGAGTAAGCTTAAGGAGAAAAATAATGATTTCCATTTTGGACATGTTAGAGTTTGAAATTCTTATGGGATATCCAGGCAGAGATGTCATGCAGTCAGTCAGCTGACAATTACAGCCTGGTCCTCAGGAGAGAAGTAAGGGCTGGACAGGTAGATTTGGGAGTGACCTGCACAGGCTGACCACTGGCCCTTGCAAGACGCACTGAGGTAGCTGGAGAAAGGCAGGGATGGAATAGCCTTCTGAAATCACGGCTGGCCAGGGATTGGGAAAAATACAATGTTGTAGAACAAAAGTCCTTAATCACATTCTTCAGCTTAAGAACCTCTGCTTCACTCTCCACAGAATCTTGAGACAGATTTCAGGGGTTCTGTGAACTTGGATGGAGAAAAACTGCATTTTTATTTCAATACACTTGGTTTCTATTCATTTCCCAAATGATTTTTATCTTCGGCATTAAGAACTGCCAAAGGAATCTACAACACATGAAAAGTTTAAGAACTCCTCCTGTGATGCATTAAATTGAGAAATTTTTCCTTCTCACACTACAGTTAGCCACAGCAAAGCCCAGAGCTGAGATGTGGGGAGCAGGGCGGAGACATTAGACCGGAAGCAAAGGCAGTGCCATGAAGTGGCAACAGTGTTGGGCTGGAAGTTAGGAGACTTGAGTTCTGATCCTAGATATGCCAGTATGACTATGGGAAAGTTGCTTCCCCTCTCTTGGTCTCAGTTGCTTATATTTAAAATGAGAAGGGGTGGAAAAGATCCATCAATCAACAAGCATTTATTAAGCACCTATTGTGTTCCAGTTGCTGAGCATGAAGATCACTATACACAATAGTTGATCTCTTTTGATCTTTTCCAGATACGAAATTCTATGTTATGATATCATACCAGCTGATCCCATACCTGACTCCTTATATACACTCAGGGAGGTGACTCTGGTATAAACCATTTGACTTGTTAAGAATAAGATTCACCAATTTTGACATGGCAGAAGGATATGTTTCCCTCCCACAGGGAAAGAGAGTAAACTTTTTAGCTTTCTCTCTATTTCCAGTAGTCTTCAAACTCAGGTGGAAATGTGCTGGTAAAGGTTTAACAACTAACTCTCAAAAAAATGTAAATGCATGACATACTTTCAATTTTAACCTGCATTATTAGCATTTTTTCATTGCTTCCTTAAATCTAAATAATCAACAAAATAAATCAAGCCCTGATTTGTAGCATTTGCCTATTTATTTCACACTGCAAAATTTAATAACTGGTTCTGGTTTGAGCTGGCTCTAGTACACCCCTGCCAAGCCTCTGAGCACTAAACTCACAATTCCTTCACTAGGCACAAAGAGGCCAGGGTACTCTGCACTACCACAGGCTGGAAACCGACACACACCCACTCACAGCTTAGGACATGGCGTGAACCCCAACTCTGAGTCTAGTTCCCTGCTGGGCTGTAGAGGTGTGTGAAGGCAGCTACCTTCCCTTTCCAGCTTTGTCTACCATTTAGTTAGGAGGATTCTTCCATGGAGAATTTTGATTCTCCAGGTAGACAATACTGATTCATGTGGTAGAAGTGGGGGGGTGAGGGCAGGATGGAAGTTGGGGAGCACAGAATGAACCTTATCCCTCTGGGGCTGGTAGCTGAAGGCAGGCATGATGATTTTATTATAAATACATCTCCTCTCAGGGTCTGCCTATTGGAAATGAAGGTCCCATTTCTGGATATCTTCCCAGCACAAGCTGAGTACATGAACTGCTCATTCCTGACTTCTCCATCCTGCCATTTCCTATACACCCTTCAATACAGGAGGCCCACATGCCCTTGCCTATTGTCCATTTAAAGTTTGACATTGACTAGGAGAAGGCACTGTCAAAGCTCACAGGGACTCACCTCAAATTAAAGTTAGTTTCTTGATTTGCTGCAGGGTATATATTCCAGGAAGGGAGGCAAGAAAGATTGGTATGAGTGGTTAGGTGGAAGCACAGAATAAAAGGGGAGACTGGAGCCAGTTTGTGGTGGGGCCTTGAACTTCATCTAGTAGGCCAAAAAACATTGAAGGTTCTTGAGAAGAGAGGCAAAATAGAGATGCTACAGAAGCCCCTCCAATCTATCATAGAATAATAATGCCTGAGTATACTCCATGAGGGGCATTACCTATAGCTTAAGCCCATTCCACTTGTAGACAACTAGAATCATTATCCTTATATAGAGCAAAATATGGCACACTACAACTGCTATCCAATCCTTGCCTTCAAGACCAAGCAGATGAAGTTTAATACTTCTTCCACATGACAGACCTCAAAATATTTGTGACCACAAAGGTCTAGAGTCCATATGTAGAGAAAATAACATCAAAGAATATGTAATTATAATCTCAACCAAAATGAATGAAACATGGTACGGCAAATTACTCTTACTATAATGCCAACATTTATCTTGCACGTTCAATGCCATGGAAAGTTAATAAATAGCCACACAGGATAAAAGCTTCAGCACTGGAAGGGACTTTAGAAGTGATCTAGTTCAATGCTCTCATTTTATAGAGGGGGAAACTGAGGCCCAGGTAGGTTGAGTGGCCAAAGTTATACATCCAGTAATTAGTGGGGCCAGTACTTGAACTGAAGTCCTTTGACCCCAAGCTTGGTTCTCTTCACTGTAGCACTGTTTATGGATTCACTGTGAGGAACTGAGCTTCTTACCTCATTTTAGTCCTAGTTTTGCCCCTTTACTATGATTGGTTTGGACATATTGCCTCAAAATCTTTTTTTAAAAATTACTTTCGATTTTTTTTTTCAATCAGTAAAAATCTGCTTTTTTGCCCTTCCCCCAAACCCCACCTTACCACCCAACCTGAGAACTAAACAAAATAAAACAAAAAAACAAAAACACAAACACAAACCCAACCCAGTTACAAACATATATAGTCAATTAAAACAAATTTCCACATTGGCTATGCCAAAGAAAATTGTCTTATTCTGCATTGTGACTCCTTTGCTTCTCTATAAGGAGGTGGGTAACCTGTTTCATCATTAGTTCTCTGGAATCATGGCTGACCATTATGCTAACGAAAGTTCCCAATTCTGTCAAAGTTGTTTGCCTTTACCATATTGCTGTCATTGTATAAATTATTCTCCTGATTCTTTCATTTCACTTGGCATGAGACATAAAAGTCCTCCCAGGTTTCTCTGAAACCTTCATCCTTTCTTACAAAACAATACTATTTCATCATATTTATATACCTATACTTATTCATCTATTCCCCAAATTATGAACACCCCCTCAGATTCCCATTCTTTGCCAAAAGAATTTATAGCTCGAAAGAGCTATAAATATTTTTGTATGTCCTTAGAGTTTGTCTTGCTTAGAACTAATCTTTCCCTTAATCTACCCTCCCTTTAATCCCCCCCCCTTAGTTCCCAGTTGAGTGAAATGTACATCAGTACCCAACTATATTGTCCCTTCCTTTAATCAGCTCAGATGAGTGAGGCTGAAGCACCAGCTGGTCCCTCCACCCTAGCCTCCTTATTTGTATAGATGGCTATTTGTGTACCCCTTTATTATGAGATAATTTCCCTCAATCTTCCTTTCCCTTATTCCCCCTTCATCCCAGTGCATTTTTCTTCCTCCTCTTTCCATTCTTCTCTTAATATCAAGACATAACAGAACCATTACTAGGACTCATCTAATTAGACTCCCTCTATGACCTCTCAGGAGATAAATGTATCATTTCCCTGTATGCAATTTATCTTTTTATAATCAATTATTGTTATTCATTCATATTTATCTTTTTACATTTCTCTTAATTCCTGTGTTTGAACTTTAAAGTTTCTAGGTGCAGCTCTGGTCTTTTCAAGAGGAATGCCTGAAATCTTCATTTCATTAAAGTCTTTATTCATTAAAGATTCTTTTTTTTCCCCTGTAATGTCGTACTCAGTTTTGTTGGGTAAGTTATTCTTGGCTGTAAGATCATATCCTTTGCTTTCTGGGGTTATCACTTTCCAAGTTCTCCATTCCTTTTTAGTTGTGACTACTAAATTGTGTGTGATCCTAACTGTGGCTCCTCGGTACTTGAATTTTCTTTGACCTAGAAGCTCTAGATCGGGGTGGGGAGACCACATGTGGCCTAGAGGCCACAGGTTCCCCACCTCTGCTCTAGATTTTGGCTATAAAGTTACTGAGAGTTTTCACTTAGGAGTTTCTTTCAAGTGGTGACTGGTGGATGCGTTCAGTTTCCACCTTCCCATCTGGTTCTAAAAGATTTGGGCAGTTTAAAAATTTCTTGAAATATCAACCATTCAATCAATAAACATTTATTAAACACCTACTATGTGCTAAGTGCTGGGACTACAAAAAGAAACAAGACAGTCCTTGCCTTCAAGGAACTTACCACCTAATGGAGAAGACAATGTGCAAATAAAATACATACAAAGTAAGCTATATACAGAATAAATAGGAAATAATTAACAGAGGGAGGGTACTAGAATTAAGGGGTTGGGGAAGGCTTCCCATGGAAGAAGACATTTTAGTTGAGACTTAAAGGAAGCTGCACGGGTCAGTAGTTAGAGTGGAGAGTGAGAGTATTCTAGGAATGGGGGACAGCCAGAGAAAATACCTGGAGCCCAAGATGGAGTGTCTCACTCATAAAGTTCACATCTTTGGACTCATGGAACAGCCAGGATGCCAGTGTCACTGGCTCAAAGAATACATGTCAGGGAGTAAAGTATAAGAAGACTGGAAAGGTACAAGGGGGCCAGGTTGTGAAGGGCTTTGAATGCCAAACAAAGCATTTTGTATTTGCTCCTGAAGGTAAAAGAAAGCCACTGGAATTTACTGAGTAGAAGGGATGACGTTATTGGACCTGCACTTCAGGAAAATCAGTGTAGTGGCTAATAAGAGGATGGACTGGACAGGGCGGAGACTTGAAATATGATGCCTAGGTTATATTTTTGTCACAACTTTCAGGCAGTCCAATGATCTGTGAATTTTTTTTCCTCTTCAATATGTTTTCCAGGTCAGTTGTTTTTGCTCTGAGATATCTTTATGTTTCTCCCCCCATCTTTTGACTTTGTTTTAATATTTCTTGTTGTCTCATGGAGTGATTGGTTTCTATCTGGTCCACTGTAATTTTCAGAGATTTTGCTGCTTGGGCAAGATTTTGTACCTCTTCTGCCACGCTACTAATTCCTTTTCCAATTCTTTCTTCTATCGCTTTCATTTCTTTTCCAATTTTTTCTTAAGCACTCTTGTTTCATTTATTAGAACATTGTTTAATTCTTTTGTTAACTCTTACTTCATTTCTTCCAGGAATCCTAGTTCAATTTGCATCCAAGCCATGTTGTGCTCAAGGCATTACTTGTAGATGTTCTGGAATCATTCTCTTTTGTGTCTGTGTCTTGAGCATCCTTTTTCGCTTGCCCATCCTTTATACAATTCCTAATATCGGGCTTCTTGTTAGGGCTTGGTTCTTCCCTACTTCTGGAGGGAAGCGCTGAGCTGGTTCTGTTGCTGCTTTGACTGTTGTGTTATTCCAGCATCTCAAGGACCATCTGGGAACATGCAAGCTTTCAGTGCTCCCAAAGTAGTCTACGCCAAGGCAAAGTCTGACTGCTGTCCCCCTAGTCTGAGCTCTGCAAGTCCCTGCCCTGAGTTTTGGTTAGAGCAGCAACAGACTGCCACTGGACTCAGCCTCCATCAGCCAGGCAAGAAGTTCTGCTCATTCAGAGTGAAGGAACTTTGATCTAGTACTCTTTCTGTGGTGATGCCTCTGCAGAGTGGGCTAGATGCTGCAACTGAGATTCCACTCTGCTCCTGGCTGCTTAACCACTGCTGGCTGCTTATCCATGTCCCCCTTTCTCCACGGACTGCCTAGGGCTTTCCCATCCAGAATGCTATCCATGTATGCAGGTCCCTGTTGGATGGGTAGCCCAGTACTGAGCAGTGAGTGACAAAGCTCCCAGTTGGCACCAGTCCCCACTGCAGTGCACCAGTCTGAGTGTTGGACCTCCTCTTGATTGTGTGCACAGCTTCTCCCTAGATGTTGGAGTGCTCCACACATGGGCATATTCCTGCCCACATTTGGAGTGGGCAATCTCAGTCTTCAGTGTCAATGTTAGCAGGCCTCTATGTCTTCTTATGACAACCTGGATCTGAGAAAAGACTCACTGTGACTTTTTCTGGATTTCCCCATCAGGATTCAGTTTGATGCTGTTGCATTTTCTATGTCTTTATGGAGGAGTTTTGTGGATAGGAGTTCTGCTACGGTGCTTCTTGCTACTCTACTAGCTTCCCACAAAGTCTTATTACTTAATATAAACTGTTTCAGATAAATAAAAGTGTCAATAGTGTGTGTAAATGGAAAGCAATGCCAATGTGAACAGCACACATGAGAAACATTTAAACATTCAACATTACGTGTCTGCTAGGCACAGATTAATATAGACTAGCACAAGAGTTTTAAATAGCCATATTCAACAAAAATATAAGGTGTGTCACAAGTAAATATATGACTTAATACTGTACACAAATAGAAAATATTTTAAGTTCAAAAGGAGGAAAATAGATATGTCCTGAAGTGAATAACAAAAAGGAATAACAGAACTAACTGAAGGATGGAGTAGTTAAAAGAGTAAGAAAGTATTGTGAGCAAACCCATCCGACTACAGAGGAAGGTTTGTGTAAGGGAGTAGTAATAGATATAAGGTTAGAAAGCTCTGGCAGGACTAGTTCTGTAGGGTTCTGAAAGGCTCTAATAGGAAGGCTGAGTTTAGATTTCAGAATGTAAGCAATGGAGATCCTCTGAAAGCATCTGAGTGGGAGGGAATTATAATAATGAAAGCTGAGTTTTTGACATATTAATCTTACTAAAGGGAAGTAAAAAAAAATCTATTGGGGGGGGGGGAAGAAGCATTCATTTCCAAAATTTCCCACCATCTACTCCCAACTTTAAAGTATCTCTCTTGAAGTAATATTTCCTTAAAGTATACAAAAACTATAGCCTCCTATAGAGAAGAATAAATGGCCTACTTTGACCTAAACTCTTAAAAAAAAAAAACCTATTAATGCACTAGGGGTTATATTCCTCAAAACACTAGACATAAATCCAGACAATTCTTTTGCTGGGACATGTGCTTCAACTAAAATTTAATCAACTCATCTATTATAATTTAAGAGCCACAATCCTCCCACTAGTGCTTGTTAGTTTACATATAATCATATCAACTGTTCTTTTGCTATCAATAAAATGTGTACCCAATAATATTAATAATATTTGTAACAGGTGGCCATAGATGCTTATTAACCAATTATTCCTATGTACCTCTATATTCTTTAGTACCCTCCACCTTCTCTAGCCCTTCTCTGTTTATAACCTCCATCCACAATAGCCCACTACTACTGCACGCATCCATAACACAAAACTTGCCTCAACTGTCACTTATCGCCTAGAGATTATAAATGCCATGATCTCTTCCACCAAAACAACTCAGTCCTTATCCTCTCCTCTCAAAGGTGTCGACAAGCTAATTTGAAAGACTAATACCCCCTGGTCATAAGGAATTGCTACGGTGTAGTTCCCATGAAACACATGCACTTTAATTGTCTTTCTTTAGACAATGTTCCATTTTTGTGGTCAAAATCTCAGTGTCTCCAGTGGTGAAAATTTCAGGCCATGAAGACTACAAATGATTGCCGCAACTCTTTCCCCCTACAAGTAGAGCCTGCACTGCCTTTAAACTGCCTTAAGTATACTTACATGGATATGGAACTTTAAACCAAGGTGCCACAAAAAGCACGCCTTGTCTAGCATCTGTACGAGCATAGAACCCATACTTTGTGCTGTCAGGTGGAAAGACATCTGTCACAGTGAATATGAAGCACAGTAACCAGGATACCAAGATAGCCAGGATTATCTGAAATTGGAAAGGGAGAAGACTATTCCAGGCTAAGTATATCAGTGGTTATTGGTGAAACATAGCTTTTACACGCTCTCTCTCCTTCCCTCTCCCTTCCTCCTTGCCCAACATGGTACCTTGCCATCAATAACTTTAAATCAGAAAAAACTCACAATGGTTTTAACGGATTTTCTTTTAGTGAAATTTCATTTTAAATGCTTCACACACCTAACACTTCAGTTTTGTTTAAATGACAAATACCACCTAGTAATGAACATCTGTAAGAATGACTCAATTCACGTTTGTAAAAAAATGACTGGCATACCGCTAACCTTCACTAAGTAACCCCTTGGGGAAATGGGAGAAGTGTAACAATATACTTTTCACTGTCACTTTATTTTAAGCACTACAAAAACATGCTTCTCAAAGTTTAGAACTGGAGTATACTATTTGGTTTATCATCACTGTGGATAATGATCATTTGTGTGGCTTACTTATTACAGTTCCATAACACAGAAATTTAAAAATTAAAATGGCCTTCAAAGGTTCTCAAAAGATATGCATTGACAATAATTTTGAAAGTAAAATTGAAATTCATTACTTACAGGGAACATTTTGAAAAGCTGCAATTTGTAGGCAGTCCATCCTTTTTTGGATTTATAAATTGGGAGAGGAAATTTAACATTTCTGGCATATTGAGAAAATAACAATACTAGAAAAATAGTTCTGGGGGAGAAAGAAAGATGAGTTAGGTTCACACATTGTCTACTGTAAATAATCCTTTAAGGTTTGACAGAAGCCACTAGAAATCAAATTTTCAGGCTAGAAAATTACTGCACAGCCCTTATTTGAGAAATTATGACATCCTTCTGAAATCACCTCTTTAGGCAGATCTTAGAACAATCTTATCTAATATCACTCAACATTGGAATAAAATATTACGGCAGAAGAGCTAACCAATAAACCATTAACTTGCATAAATGGAGAAGATAGCTCTGGTTGGACTTTGTGAATGGAAATACTAAAAACACAGGAATCTACATGATGAAATTTATGGAATATAGGTACATTTTAGAAACTGTTTCTATTTTGAGACTGATGTCACATGAACTTCATAATACAAAAATGAAGAATGATAATCCAATCTGAACAAGACAAGAAGTGTGCAGAAATTGTCTAGAAAAAGATTCTGAAACGAAATGAAGCAAATCTAAACCTTCCACCAGACTGAATGTTTTACAGTATGATAGGATATGAAACACAATCTTGTTAAGCTATTCTCTAGTTAAGAGTTCCCAGAACCTAGCTAGGCTCTGTAATTTTGGAACCTAATGCTCTATTATTCTACCCCTGCCTTGGTCTTGTCCCCACCCCTCCCACTACTCCAACACACACCTCCTCTTACCCCAAGCCAAACGGTATCACTCACAATAGAATATCCACTGGTCCATCTCCCAATAACTCTGGGCTTTGCCCACCTGAGCCCAACTCATTCATCTGTTCTAAAATTCCACGTTCACTCTAAATCAGAAAGTCTGATTGTGGATGGGTTTTTGGTACTGCTACCCTCAAATTCTGCCTTAATAACTACCTAAGCAATTGCTTCTTCCTCTCAAGAGTGAGAGAGGAGAAAAGATTTTATGAGAAATATTTTTGCAATTGTGTCCTTGACAAAAATTGTGTCTCAGCAAAAAGAATAATTCTATAACATTATGGTCATCCTCAACGTTCCTATGACTTTCTTCACAAAGTCACAAAGCTAGTTAGTGGTAGAGTTAGGACTTGAACTCAGATCTCGTATCTCCTAATTAATACTCTACTAAACCCATGAGGCTTTAAGTTAGACCAAGCCATTACTTTTACTAGCCTATCAAGACTTTTGAGAAGAACCTTTCAGTGGTTTTCTACTGATTCCCAAATAAAGGTCAATTCCCTCAGCCTACACTACCTTCAAAATATGGCACCTCTCAGTCTTTCCAGTTTTTCCTTACACTACAGCCTTCTATAAGCTTTATTTTCCAGTTGAACAGGAGGAACCTGCTATCCCCACACAGGACCTGTGCTAATCCACCTCCATGCCTTCTGCTTGGGTTGTTTCTCTTTACCTGGAATGACTTCTATTACCTCTCTGTTTAAACCCTACTCATGCTTCAAGGCCCAGTTTAAATGGCAGTGCTTCCATGAAGGCACTGCTGATCTTCTGATCTCTGATGCTCTTAGTAACAATCTTTCCTGTTTTAGGTTTCACATATAGAATTTGGATTATACCTCTCCTATACACTTATCCTGTGCCCTGTTTGTTTCATAGTTATTTATGTGAAATTTTGTGAGGGCAGATGCCATGTGTCATTGGTATTTTATTTCCCCCATTGCCTAGTAAAAGGTTCTGTGAAAAGCAGACTTTAGTTAAAGTAAGAAAAGTAAAAAGATAAAAGGAAGAGAGGCAGTTCTTGACTGAGGAACATTTAACTTATGACTAATCTGTACACAAGAAAGGCCCCTGCTACTCCTATCCTCATGATGTTATTGCCAGAGCACTCAGACTGAAGCTGCTATAGTTCTATTCTTCAAAGGCTAGCTTGGAGTTCAGTGCTTAAGGCTATCAATAACTATCTCTGGGGCTAGCATGCAAATTATTACATTATTCTTATGGGAAAACATATTCTGAGAGCTACAAACAACTGACGGGAAAAATAAACTTTTGGAACAGAAACATAGAAGTCATTGATGATTTGAGGACTGCCAGGTGGGTGAGCAAGAAATATTTCCTTTTTGATTTTAGGTGGTTATGGGTTTAATTCAGACAAAGAGGCAATTCAACAAACATCTAAATTTCTAATATGAGCAAGATATATTAACTTTCCTATGCTGATAAGCTATTAAACTGGATGTAACAACAGTCAATAAGAACACAGATTTAGAACTAGAAGGGACCACAGAAATTATCTAGTCCAAACAGCAAAGGAAACTAAGGACCATAAAATCCTTATCTGAAGGTCATACAGGTAGTTAAGTAAGAGAACCAGGACCTGAAGCCAGGGTTCTTGACTCTAAATCTAGTGTCCTGTCTACTATACAACACTTCCTGAATATATTTGTTTTGTTACAGTCAAACAACTTTCTATTTATTAACAGTACTACAAAAAAAAATATTTTCTACAACTGGAAAGAATTTTGCTTTCCAGATTCACTATTATTACTTTATTTAGAAAATGAAGGAGTTGTATCATCATAACAATATTCAAATTAAAAAAAAAAAAGCAAGCAAGTGAACTTACAGCATAGCTATGCCCCAGTGTTTCCCTGCTCTTTCTCCTGCTGCTTGGAAACCAGAGAGACCAATCAGGGCCACTGTTGGTGTAATAGTCAAAGGTCCAATATACTTTAGCAGAGCACCTGGCAGGCCAAGGAAGCCAATTACGACTTCTATCAATGAAGACATGATAATGGCACCCTGGATCTGAACCAAGAAATAAGAAAAGTCATTAGCAACTATACCTATTCTTTCTCCCCTTTTAAATGCTGCCTTTATTATTAAAAACAACAACAACAACAACAAAAAACACACACACAAGAAAACCTGACAGTTATTTCCTAATTAAATAAATAAGATACAAAGAAGTAATAAGAATGACAATGAGAAAATAATGCGTATTTTTTACCTCTCGTATTCTTGGATACCAGATATGCTCAGTATGCAATAATGTTGTTTCATTGGTAACTGAAAGATCTTGAAAACAAAAAGAAAAGCATTTTATCTCAATATTTGGAGAAATGCTGCTTTAATAATTAATTTCAATATTTTTCAAATTCAAAATTTCAATTAATTTCAGTATTTTAAACTAGTTTTACACATAAATCTAAACCCACTGTTATTGATATCACAACAGTGCAGCTTAGCATAATGAGAGCTGAATTCATAGCATTAATATCAGATTAGCTAACTTGTAGGCAAAATCCTAATTTTCAATAAAAGTAAAAGAATTATGGTATAATGCATTTTTCTGTCTTACATAAAAATCAACCTTTACAAGTAGCAAATTTAATTAAATTATACTATGATAAGCCATTACCTTACTGAATTCTTAAGGGATTTGGGAAAGAAACTAAATTAAATGAATGATCTCATAGTAATTTCATGATACCAATTCCAGAAGCCACCAAGGAAATCAACTAGAGAAAATTCAGTTCCAAGAACCTAAAAAGGTAGTCTAAGACTACATGTGTGAACTAGACAAATGTCTGGTTTTGAAATTTTATTAATTTCCCTACCTTCCTCTTAAACTGATCAAAATATTTAAAGTTATTATAGTTATAAAGAAAATAAACATCATTTGTAGGAAATTTACATCTACATATTTCAAAAGGCATTATTCTAATGCATCAAAATGACAAGAGCACTACATATTCATAATTCTTTTGAAATAAAACATTAGCAAAAAAGTGTCTCAAATGCTTCTCTATTACACATGCACATGCACACACACACACACACACACACACACACACACACACACACACACAC